GGTATTCCGTGGGTCCATAGGTATATAGATGTATCTCTACATAGCTGCGGGTATGGTCGCATACATGCTAGGAAAGCAAAGAACAACACAAATACTTTTGGAGATCTTGGAAGGTCTCTACAGACTTCGCATACCAGGCTACGTAGCCACTTTGGCGCAACTACCGCGACGTAGATAGTAGAAGGGAGGTGAATCGCCTCCCTTGCTACGAGGGCACTGTTTCGGGGATCTGGAAATTGCTACTACGGACATTCCTGGTGCTTGCTACCAAAACAGCGGACACAAATATGTGTCTACCAGGAAAGCCCGTGTGGGAGTAGAAAAGGTAGCCGAAAATGGTTGCCGAAACAATAGGCAAAAATATGCTCTTATAACAATCTCACAGGGATCCTTCCTGCGTAGATGGGAAATCAGGCCACACTTTATGAAACTCCCATTACACCTCGGACAAACAAACTCTTTACATTCGTGCATCGTATATAAGACGAATATTTTAACTTAATACATAGATTTCGCAAACACAGCAGCAGTAAGGGAATCATCGCGTGGGTAATACCCGCTGACGACGCACGTACGTGAGGACGGGGAATACCCGCGTAATTCCCGTAAGTAATCGCGGTTCCCCCTTACTGCTGCTACGCAATACAATATAAGAATATTGTGCTTTTACGATTGTAGATTTTCAAAAGCAAAAAAGTGAATTTATCCTTGAATGTGTTCTCTATTTAAACATCTTGGACGTTACGTTTGCATGTGGTTGTACCATTTTATGCATTTCTGTGGATCTTCATAGGCCCTCAAAAGACGCTTGGGCTAGAAATAATTAATTCAATATCAGTCGACAACAACGCTCTCGGACATTCCACAATTGTTAGCTTCGGGGCATATTTGGCAGAATATGTGCATAAACACAATGACATTGAAGATAACGTTATGCAAATATTCTCACGAACTTAACCGTGTGGAACGACCGAGAGCGTTGTTGTCGATCGATGAGGTGAGCTCTTTAGGTACCCTCACTTTAAAAAATGTTTTCTCCAAAATTTGGATAGGACGAGCTGTAGAAATTTCACTACCATCTAGATAAAGCTCTGGTCTATTGATATAGGTAGTTTAAAGAAAAAACTTGGAGCCGTTTTGAAAAAAGTCCAAAACGCTGTATTGAATGTGTGTTGTGGTTTATTGTCTGCACCAAAACGCTAATGAAAGTTTGAAAACGTTAATGAACCCACGCAAACATATTCATGATTGTCAAATTCAATGCTAAATTTCTTAATGAAAGTTCCATCGCACTCTTGAGACTCCGTTCGACTTATTGTATGCCTGTTCGCTCTAATGACAATGCTTCTTCGCTTCAATGAATATTCCTTTGCGGTTAATGAACAGCAAAAGGTTGTGTAAAAAAAAACAATTATTCGATGATTTTTTAAGATTTGTTGCTGATTTTTCGTAAAGCTCATCTGCAATACTTGGAAATAGATATGTGAAAACTTCAAGACAATCCATTCAATAGTAAGAACATGCGTAATAAGTAAATTACGATCATTCAATAGTAATGTTTCTACAGCGCGATGTCTTTTTTCCTGCACAAGATAAGATAAATAAGACTAGATAAGATTCTGAAAATGTCAGAAAAATCGTACCTGAGGATGAGGAGAAAAAAGCCAAAAACTAAAAATAGCACTGTTTGATTTTCGGCCGTAATAGGCTAAACATTTAAAAAATCTTAAAATACAATACACTGTTAGAATCTAGGATAATCCAAGCACATTATATGAAAAATACAGTTAAATGGACGCAATAGTTTTGCGAAGAAAACGAGAATAAAATAGGCCATCCACTATTTCTGGAAGAAAATGAGAAAAAAGTGTTCAGATAGAGTAGAAAAGGCTTCTTTGGTAAGTAATTAATGATGTGTATCGGGATCGTTCATCGAAGCGTTACCATTTATTCACAATGTTCACCACTTCCAAAGATAGACCACAGGTAGCCCAGGCTTACCGTTAGTATTGAATAACTGAATCGATCGAGACGCGTCATCTAAACCCGAACGAAATGAGCTGTAATTAAACCATGGGGCTGTTCAATATATCAACAACACACGGCGGGAGTTTTATTTGATTTTAATTATTTTAAAGCGTAAAAATGAGGATTCAAAAATACCCATATGATACCCATATAATCTTTGTCTGTCTGTCTGTCTCTCGATCGATTCAGTTATTCAACCCTAACGGTAAGCCTGGGCTACCTGTTGATAGACCAAATGCAAAACTTGCACCGATGTGAGGCTTAGTTGTGAACAAAGGGATCTGGCGTGATTCACAGGATTTATGGAAATAAAGTATGAAAGTACATTGTAAAACTCGTAGTAAAAAATTCATACTTCGGCTATTTGATAGAATGCGAATTTCTTTGAGAAATAGCATGGTACGAGTAAAATTAACACTAGATAGTCTTTCAGAGGGGGTTAAATTTCACTGATGTCGTTCAGAACCTATTTTATTTCATCTCTAAAATACATTTTGCGAGATCAAAAAGCTCAGCCACCTAGCCTCACTGAGACCCACAATCCTTTGCGCAACTAGTCTTTCTCTGAGCTTTGCAAAAGTCGTTAGTCGTCTTACTATTAACATTTATAAAGGGAGGCTTGATTAAAGACAGGGCACAGGTCTCCTCGTTCTTAAACTACCGCAGCTGCTGCTACTACTATTGTTACTACTTGTTATTTTATCAGTTATAAATGATATATTTTCTCGTCCATTTTCAGTGTATATAAAGTGTAACGTCGAGCTCCAAAAACAATTACCAAGAGTATCCATGGAATATTATATTTGTTATGAGTGAAATATTCCCAGCAAAGTTTATAGATCATGTAGTTAATAAGAGTCGTAAACAATGTGAGATTGTTCTTTGGGCAAGTGAGTTGCGATTGAATGAGATGGAGGGGACAGAGAAGAAGGCAAAGGCAAGGATTCCTCTACTCTGGCAAGAGCAAGAGAGTCGTCTCCAAATCTGTCTGTCTGTCTCTGTCTGTCTGTCCTATTGGCTTCTGATACCAAGTATAATGTCTGTCTGTTTGTCTTTCTGTCTATCCCATTGGTATATGTTACGAAGCAGCATACGAGTATAAATAGAGATATATATATTCTTCAAAAAATACATTGGGGGTATGGGTGGGGAAGTGATCACATTTCTCCCGTGATTTCTGTGCCGAGCACTTTCATTGCTGTCCCTACTAAGTGTAAGCTTCCAGTGATTAAGAGTTGAATCCGCGAAGCTTTGGCGATTGATTCTGGATGTTCAAGATCATTATTTTGAATTGGTGTTATCAACGGATCCCGACCAGCGGTTATCCACCGAATGGCCTGCGCTACACAAGGGAATATGGTCGAGTATGGTCCGTCGTCTTGTCCGTTTTGAATCAAGTGATCGTCATCTAGCGATGCTATTGGATGCGCTTGGTAACCTGCCCCTCGTAACGCCATCCATACCCGCTGATTTTCGACACACCAGCGCAACTGACTGTCACGCGTGACGGTGAAGTTGGCTAAATCTTTAAAAAAGAAATTGATATTGATAATGAACCGGAAGTGACCGGAAGCGAAATCTCATATTAAGAGAGAGAATTTTTTATCTATACACCTATATTATATCAAAAAAAGTTGTCGGAGCCAAAAGCGATATGTAATAGGCGATAGTAAATAGATACTTCCAAAATCCAAGAATTGTTGGAATTCTTCTTTATAATTCTTGTAAGTAACACAGAGGTTAGAGTTGAGATATCCAGAGTTGTTTGAAGTCGACAAAACCATTAAAACACCACGGTTATTCATGTTTAGATGTATGCCCACAATCCCTTTCGGTCTTGGAATGACCTATTGCTTATCATCTATCTCGTATGGCTCCGAAAACCTTTATTGCAATAGGTGTATACACACGTGTCTTCGTTGGAGCGTAGCCCAATAAGATTGACTCGCGCGGTATCCATGGATATTTCACACAAAATGGGAGTATGCAAAGTATTCTGGGTAAAATTCTGCCCCAGAATTCATTGCAATAACACCACATTGCTTATATCGTTGGGACGTGTTTGGGGACGTTTGAACACGACCAACAATGACAAACAATTTGAGGGAATTTCAGCATCATATTTGTGTCATAGTCGGGCATTTTTTCTAGTAATGATAAAAGGGTAAATTTTGGTTTCTTTTGTCTTGTGCTCAGTATATAAACACTCCTTTCTACCACCTTTTTCTCTTTTACTCTGACGAAGGACTAGCGTCCGAACGTCAGTTTTTCCATCTTTTCACGGTGTAAAATTTACCCCTTTATTATTACTGTTTCATTAGAAACACCGACGCAGCTCACACTAGTTTTTAGCTAGTTATCTCTTCATTTTTTCTAGTAACAAATCCGAGTTTCCTGTAGAGGGTTGGTGGGCGGGTTTTCTTTGGGTTGTGGTTTTGTTTCTCGTTAAAAAATCTCTTAGTTCTCATACTTTGATTACGTAAGATGATGATTTGATCAATGTAATGATTTCCTTACCTGAATTATCAATCATTTCTATGTTGACCGTGTTGGGAGAAAATACAACGTGATCAAACTTCAGATTCTGCGGATAAAGAAGATAGCAATGTAAACCTGAAATACCAAGGTCACCTTTACAGCTATTTTCAGGTCGGTACGTCGTAATCTATTGGGAGGATATGCAACCAACATTAACGAAGACTGAAAGAGACAGACATACACGATGCTAACCTGCGCTTAAAATTGGCGGTCGGCGGTTGTTTTTTTGTTTCAACAACCGCTGATCCAATGTCGTACCCTGAGCCCTCATTCTTACTTCGCATGCTCGATAAGAAATCAGCATGCTTAGTAAGAAATAATGTCTCTGATTACGAGATTACCGCAGACCTCAGGACATCGCAGACTCGTCGCCTACCGCTGATAAGTTTTTAGTTTTGTCAGTATCCTAGTTTTAAAGAGGTAAGAAGCGAGCTTAGCAGTTGCGTAACGGAGAGCAGGGTTCAGGACAGGACAAAAACAATAAGGGGTTAAGAGATCAAAAACAGTTTTCCGTGTTTGATACTCTGATCAAAACATGTTGAGAGAACACGAGAGGAGCGTAGGAAACCACGACGCGTAGCGGAGTTGTTTCCAGCTTCTCGAGTGTTCTCCCAGCATCCCAAGTGTTTTGATCAGAGTATCAAACACAGAAAACTGTTTTTTGATCTGTTTTATAAAATAACAAGCACGCCAAAAAAACGAAAAAAATATCGTATAATTTTGATGCATTTATAAAGGATGACACGAGTGTGTTTTGATACCCTCATCAAACATGGTTTTCGACCAATCGTAGGGCGCGTACTATCCCAATTATTTTATAATTGATTTTCAAAACGTTTGGGAATTTCATCTTATTCCAAGTGGGAAAACCGTAATGGAGTTCCTGTGGACTTGTCAAGAACTTTTTTCGCGCCAAAAACGCGCGTGCGCTGGGTTGATTATCTACTCACCACAAGTGGTCTAAGCAGTCCATGAGGATCTCTGTCTCCAGTGAGATTGAACAAAAGAACACGAGCCACTTTACCACTGATAAGACAAATGAATCAAATTATTATTGCATTTGACTAAGGCCATAACGCGTTTAGTGTGGCTAATACTAATACTGATATACTTCTTGTTGTCGATATTATTGCTGACGATACTACTACGAATGCTATAGACCCATTGCAGAAACTACTGATCTGGGGATCAAAAGAAAACAATTCCTTTCTCTTGAGGATTGCAATCTTTTTTGATATTAATATTTTTTTCAATACTTTTACCCCTAGATAACTGAATTAGTTAATGCAAGGGGTCTATTGCTGTTGCAGTTGCTTTGGCTGTTGCCATTGATGCAGCTGCTATTGATATTAATATTCAAATATTCAACAACTAGAACGACTAAAGTTGTTCTTGCTGCAGTGGCGTAACAAGAGTACCAGCCACACGAGGTTTGCCGCGAAAACTCCCGCCAAATCTACAGGTAGCCCAAAAAATAGGAAAAGAAAAAATGTATGATATTTTGTCAAACTTTTGAAGCCCCCTGTTTTTCTGTTGTTGGTGATGCTGTCGTTGTATTCCCTAACGCATATAGAGGATATTACATGGGCGCGCGGAGATACGAATTTTATCTTCGAGTGTTGAAAAGATATCTCACAAGTGAGCGTAGCGAACGAGTGAGAGATTTTCAACACGAGAAGATAAATTGCGTATCTCCAAGCGCCCATGTAATATTCTGTTTATTATATAATTATCAATGAAGTATGTTTTGGCTTTTTCAGGCAATTCTTTCCGTGTATTTTTGAATAGCCATCACAATGGTGTTATCTTCACACGTGAAAATAACATGTTATTTTCACGTGTGAAGATATCAATTTTTCGAAATAGAGAAAAATAGATATTTCATAGGTAATTATATAATAAAATAACTTACTCTGTATCTTTTGCTTCTTGTTCAGCTGTTTGTTTGAACCACTTGGCACAAGCCTAAATCAAAAAACAAACACATTAAAACTTGGTTTCTGTTTCTTGTGGTCACCAACCAGTAATTCTGTAGTATTATTACCTCAACACTTTTAGGCGTGTGTGCTCCATCAAGGTAGAATGTTATATTTGGTCGAACTATCTTCTGGCAACGACCATTCCATCGTGCACTTACCAGACCTGCGTGGAAAAAAATCAAAAATCTTTAAAGTTTTGACATCTTAATTTCATTTTTTTTATTTATGTTTTTAAATTTTAAATCTATTTGGAATAAAGTCCTTTGTTTTAAAATCTTTTTGCACATTACAACTAAAGGAAAGAAATAATAATCAAAGGAATGTCGCTTGGTCTGGAAAAGAAAATTGTTCTCCAGCTCAATTCCTGGACTCAACATCGCATGTGAGTAGAGTTTGTTGGGTCTCTCTCTTGATTCAATGGTTTTTCTAGGGGTTCTCTTGTTTTCCTCCCTCTGGAAAACCCTTGAGTTACCATGCCCAGATTGTGAGATTGTTTCCTGATGCAAAAATTGAAGTAAGGAGTGGGAGATTTTCAGAGTTTTTTTGGAGTTCTCAATATGCATTCTGAAGCAAGACCGTTAAAATTCAGCAACAAATTGGCAGGAAAACAGATGTGAAGAAAATTTCTGGAGCAACTTTACCTTTTCTAAGGTTGCCTGTGATTTCAAAGGTGGATGCCACAGGTATCCCACTTTTTAGTTTCTTCCTGTCTGGTTCATAGTCATCAATGTCCAGGTCTGTTGCCGATTTTAAAGAATCTAAAACAAAATGCACAACAAACTAAGACAATGAAAAAGAATGGACAAGTAGCTTTCTAGTTATGACAATGCAGTAATGAGTCATGACACCAAAACAATGATGATGATGATGATGATGGTGATGATAATGATTGTGATGATGGTGGTGATGATGATGATGATCATAGTGATGATGACGATGGTGATAATTATGGTGATGATGGTGATGATGGTGGTGATGATGGTGATAATGATGATAATGGTGATGATGATGGTGGTAATGATAATGATGATTATGATGATGGCGATATTAGAGATGGTGGTGGTGTAGAAGAAGGTAGTATTTGAGATGGTGGTGATGATTCTGATGATGATGATGGTGATGATGATAAAGATGATGGTGATGATGATGGTGATGATGATGGTGATTATGATTGATGATCATGGTGATGATCATGGTGATGATCATGGTGATGATCATGGTGATGATGATCATGGTGATGATGATCATGGTGATGATGATCATGGTGACGATAATGATTTCCACTGAGATGACCTTTATCACTGTGTGACAGTACATTACCTTTAGATTGATTCTCTTCCATTCTCTTGTGTAACCATGTCTTACAGAGCTGCAAGGCCATGGAAGCATTGGTGTGCTGATGTTCACCAGCCAAGGAAAGTTCTAGAAAAAATAGGAAAGTAAATCAATAAACCCTAATAACTCTAAAACCTGCAAATATTATTAAACCCTGAAACAAACTCTGGGCTGTAAGTCAGGGCATGGCTAACTCACATATAGAGCCCTGAAACAACCTTTGGGCTGATCTGAGTCAGGGCACGGCTAACTCACATATCAAATCCTGAAACGACCTCTGGGCTGATCTAAGTCAGGGCATGGCTAACTCACAGATCAAACCCAGAACATAACTCTGGACTGATCTAAGTCAGGGCATGGCTAACTCACAGATCAAATTGGAATTTAGGTTGTTAAGTTTTTCAAAATCTGGAAAACCTGGAACCTGGAGAAAATCAAGGGAAAGACCTACCAAACTTCACTCACATGTGATGCCCAGGAACCAAACTCAGGACCCCAGAGGTGAGTGGCGAGTGCACTACCACTATACTACTCTTGATTCCAAATAAATGTTTTTAACAATAAAAGTAATAATACTAAAGAGAATGAGTCAGCATGCATACCTGGTAGGTCCCCTGGGTAGTCTTTGAGTTTGGGTACAAGGTACAGTGGAATCTAAGCATAGAACAAAAAGGTAAATCAACAAAATGGATGAAATAAATAAATAATAATAATTATAGATTCTTAAAAGCGCATAAAACGAGTCTCTATGCTCTATACAATAATTTTTAAGACCTATACAAATGCAAACTAATCTATCTATCTATCTAGGTAACATGAATTAATTAGAAAAAATTAATGAAATAATATTTATTAATTTATGGACAATATTTAAGCAGTTCAGCATAGCTGGTTTAAATAATTAAAAATTAAAAATAATAGAATAGAATAAAATAAATTWAAAAAAAGTTAGTACAAGCACAGGCTTGCCAGGTTCATGCATGCCAGCCGTGTTATCATGATTGTGGTCTCCTATGGTGGCATAAGTTTGTTATGATTTTAAACTATCTAGTGATTTCCAGCATCACAAAAATAAAGTTTCTGGGGTTGCACCCCTCCCTACATTGGTGACAGCAAGCATAACACAACAAACCTCAAAAAATAAATAAATAAATAAATAAATAAATAAAATAAAATAANTAGGACGAGAGAACAAACTAATAATTTGTGTCAAAAAGGCTGGTTGTTTGTTCAGTTGAATTCATTAGTAAATACGCATGACACATCACAGTCATGACAATAAAATAAAATAAGATAAGATAAAATAAAATAAAATAAAATAAAATAAAATGCATTAAATAACTGTTATGAATGTCGCATTCTGATTGGTTTGAAGCACATGCTTTATGAGAATGCATTGCACAATCGCGCACTTTCCGTTGCTTCATTCCTACCTATTATTGTAATTTGTATTTTATAAAAGAAATAAAAAACTTGCTTGCTGTGCTGTGTGCAGTCATAAAGCACTTGGGGATTGGCAGAACACTCGAGAAGTGTCGTGCTTCTTCTAACACTTCTTTCGTGTTCTGCCAACCCCGGCGTGCTTTACGACAGCACACAGCATGCACGCACATTTTCTATTTCTTCATTGGATAAATTATTTTGACATCCTTTTATTTCAAAAACACTTTCAAAAACTTTATTTTTTTGAAGCTGTTAATCACTAGATAATTCAAAATCATACTGAACTTACACCACTATTGGGCCAGTTGTACGAGTTATAGTAGATAGTGCTATCTAAAAGTTAAATCTTATCCAGCAGAAACATTTATTGGATAACATTGAAATATTTGCTGGATAAGGCTTTATCTGTCTGATAGCACTATCTACCCTTCATACAACATTGTCAGGAGACCAACAATAACACAGGAAACCCAACATGAGCCTGATAAGCCTGTGCTACAAATAGACTTACCTTTACTTCTTTTGCTCTTTTATATACTGTCTGAAGAGCACTTTCTTCTTGTTCTACAGTAAATGCTGGAACTCCAGGCTAAAAATATGCACAATATTAGATATCAGCATTACACTCTGTTGCCTTCAAGCAATATTGTTGCATTTCAGTCAGGTTCTGTACATTTCATTGTATTGACTCATATGCCTTGACTTGAAACAATTTGAAGTAACTCTAAAAACTGCTATTTGAAGTAAATGGATGCATGTCTTGTTGGATGGGCGGATGGATGGATGGATGGATGGATGGATGGATGGGCGGATGTGCGGATGGATGGATGGATGGATGGATGGATGGATGGATGAATCGATGGTAGGATGGATGGGTGAATGGATGCATGGATGAGTGGATGAAATAGTTGAATGAACAAAATGAATCAATCATTGAATGATAAAAAATAGATCAATGAATGAACAGAGTGAAAAAATTCTTAAACATATAAATTATTATATGCATATATATCAAAATTATAATTAAAGATTAAGCATATAGCAAACACAAGAATCTAACTTAAATAAAAAGGAAACAAATAACAGGCTTAATTTTTCAACCTTGAATATCCCAGCTTTTTGCCAAGCAATACTCTCCAGAGATCCTCCAAGGGTTTCTACATGATCCATACCTAGGGACGTCACTCCACAAACCACAGGCTTCCTGTATTCAAATACAACTTTATAAATCTCGTGTTCAATCTCGTACCCAGAGCCCACGTTCTTCATGGTCAGCACCGAGAAACGAGAGGCTCTGGTTGTAACCGATTTTCAGTTGGCTTCCGGTCCGTGAATTTCGGACCGGAAGTTTCAACTGCGCCTTAGTCACAGGTAAGCTGATGTTTGGGTTACCTTTGATCCTCAGGGATTCAAATTGTTTCGAACAAACGGTAATCAATTTTTGACCTTTTTAGCTTGAATATAGTAGTTAAATTATTTATCCTTTGCCTTCTTATAGTTTATTTAGTACATTTTTCCCCCAGGTACTAATTGCTTGTGCCATTTTGTGAGTTTTTAAGGTTTTTTTAGTTCAAATCATCACGACAAATGCAAGAGCAATTGGCCGCCAACTCGACTCACACTAATCCTCATGAAAATTTGCTTAAATTCCAGTCTCCTTCTCATCTACTTCGGCTATGCGAAAGATTGATTATCGTACCACATTCTACCAAATTTTGAGTTTGATCCAAGCCAATTTAGTGCTTGAAAAATCCACTTATTTCCTGATATATTCGAGTCTGTTAGCCATTTTATTTCCGGAACGACTCTTTCTATTGTTTTCCCTGGACCAATAGGAATGCTCAAAAAATTGGTTACAACCAGAGCCTCTCGTTTCTCAGTGCTGATCATGAGGAACATGGGCTCTGGGTACGAGATTGATCTCGTGTTAAGCTTCCAGTTTTTTTTAATGGTTGGCAATCAGAGAATGTGCCGTTAACTGAACAAAATTCTCTGGCTAATTCAGTTCATGATCTTCTCCTATTATTTTAAAACTTAATGAAAACTCTGGTCCAGTGGGATAGTCTATGTTTGTGTTTATGTGTGTAGGGGTGGGGTGGGTGAAGGGAGCAGGGGGGGTGGGGTTGGACAGAGGGACTAATAATTATTGAGCAGAGCAAAAGAAAACTCAACCCACCTTAAGATGTTAGTTGAATCATAAGCTCCACCAATGCCTACTTCAACTATAGCAACATCTACCTATGATAAAATATTATAAAACAAGATATGAATAAGAGCAGTGTTTGAATAACGGTGGCAAATCTCTAGTTAATAGAAGACTTGTCTCTTGCTTCAAGTTGTAGTGGACTTTGGGCTCCCTGTGGAGGAGGGGTTAATAGATACATTTTATGTACGTCAAACATGAAGTAAAGTTTACAATTACACATGAAGTTTAGGTGTATTTTAGTGGTGTCTACAAAGTCTTCAAACTTGAATATTTCCCAGATGTGATCAGGACCAGTTAGGGACTATAGATTTCTCATGTGATCAAGGGTGCATGGACCATGGGGGTGAAGGCAGATGTAAAATTTAAAGAGGAAGCTACACACTGGCATTCTAGGTAACAGCCACCCCCCTGAAATCATCCTGTATCCACCAAACCCCTTAAAGAGTAATGTAAAATCTAAAGAGGAAGCTATACTGGATTGTCACTGCCTCCACCAATATTGCTTCTGTCAGGTTTTGTTAACATTAATGGGATAGCCTAATATAAAAAGAGAAGGATCAAAACTTGTCGTACCTTTTCCTCAAGGAAGACATAAAACGACATTAAAGTCAGGAACCTGAAGTAAGCAGGCATTTTGCCATCATGACTTTCCTGCAAAAATATTAACAAATTAATGTTTAAGATATAAATTCTAATAATTATTAGAATTGTACAGTAATTATAATAATTACATCTGTATTCGCCAAATGTGTGTTGAATAATACTACTAAAGAGGGTGAAAAAAATTGTAGCATGAAAAATACCTGTGAAAATCATGTGAAATTTCAAAATATTCCCAGGTATTTTTTACAGGTTTTTCATATTTTCTTTTGCACAATTCTAAACCAAAAAGCTAACCATTTGAAGATCTAATTACAAAGACAGCACCTTCTCCTCAATTATTTTAAGACCCTGAGTATTGGTTTGGCCAAGGCTTCAACCACGACCTTCCACAGAACTGGACGACAACACATTTTGTCAGTATTTTCGTTTTTTCCCCCTCACTCTACATTTACATCCCTTCTAAATGTGAAATGCCAGCATTAGAGCGCTTCACGATCACATGTACGAAATCGTGAAAAACGTTTTTGAGACATTTTTTTTTTGTGGACACCAATTAAAGTATTTCCCAGCATTGTCYGAAAACACAAAGCTTTTAAGGGCACGTGTCTACAGTATGGAATGCCATGGCAATGCATTGATTGAAGTCCAAAACCTAATTTGTCCTGATGGCAAATTGTATGATTTCACGCAATCCATGTGATTGAGAAGCGCTGTAAATGTTACAGGTAATTTCTACCTTAGTTTCTTGTAGGTTGTCCCAGCAGTCAAAGAAATACTTAGTAAACAGGTCCTTACTTAAAGCTTTGCCGTTTATCCTTATCCTTTCACGGACTTCAATAAGATGAGGTGAACTGCATGCAAAAAAAGGTTTGGGATTCAAAAAACAAATTCTTGATATTAGCTCCAATCAGATGAACTTTAGACATATATACATCTATTTAAAAAAACACGGTCATCGCCAGAGGCAATAGGCGTTAGGTCATTCTGAGATAGAAATGGTTTCGTCTACTACAAACAACATTGAATCAATCTCAACACTAAGGTCCATGTTCTTGGCGTGAATAAGAAACAGAAACACAAGTCAGTCCAATTATTCTTGAATTTTGGAATTATCTAGCTCCTATTGCTTTTTGCCTATCGCCTATTAGACTTTCGCAAAGTCTGCCGCCCGCTTTGATTTTTTTTACTGGGCGCACGACGGACTTTTCGACCTTGCTTCCCGCCAAATTTACCGACCCAAAAATCAGTCGGTAAATTATAGCCAATCACAATGCTCGAAATCCAAGCTGTCAATCACAATGTAAGATTAGTAAGATTATCTCTACGATTCCCATCGGCATCTGTCAACACAACATCTGTCTGACAACATGAGATCAATATCTGAGGCCATATCATAGGGTAAAAGTAAATTAGGATACCAAATTATAAGAGATTACCAAAAACAAAGTATAGAAGCGTATCTTTCAGACAGAGATGTTTTTATATCTGCACCAACAGGAGCTGGAAAAAGCCTGACATTTGAGATCGCTCCATTCGTCTTAGATTTTCTGAGGTTCGTTGAGAAAAACTTCATCGAGACTGTTGTTGTTGTTGTTGTTGTCCCTTTGGTCTCTTTAATGAAAGACCAAGTAACGTCTTTAAAATCGAAGGGGATCTCTGCTTCCTATGTTGGAGACGACTGCTCGAAAGAACAGCTACAACACATCTTGCATGGCAAGTTCAACATTGTTTTTGGTAGCCCAGAAGCACTGTTAAACAGTCATCAATCCTTATTTTGCCGACTGAAAAACAATGTCAAAGCAGTCTTCATAGACGCCCCCGAAAGCCGATAGTCCTGTATCAAATTCAGAAATGGCGGGAAACACAATTGAATATCCTGCAAGTTTGACAAGTCGACCTCTCGCAACTTTGTCCCTTGTTCGCTCGCTTCGCTCGAATTAAAAAACTCCAGGAAAAACAGAGAGCAAGTCTAATCGCCTATCACTTTTGGCGAAACAAACTTTTTTGAAATAGGTGTACACTGTATCGTATATGTCAATGGATTTTTGTGCAAGCTAATTCAAATATTATCATACAATCCTCCAGACCTTCATGGTTTAAATACCTTGGTATATATCATAATGTGATGACATCAATATCAATACCTGTAAAATCCAGTTTTGTAACCACTGCTTTGTAAAATACTTTCTGAAAAAGCACATGTTGAACCCTATTTTTTGAGAAAGGAGGATAACAAAGGTAGGTTTTAAAAATTTTCAATTTTGATTCTTTTAATTGTTCTCACTGCAGATCGCTATAAACTGAATGGCTGGCCCCCTCTCCATAGAATATCGCCATAGCCCCCGACCCCATACCTCATACCCCTCCACCCCATAGCCCATAGCCCCCAAATGGTACCCCATAGACCCCAAATGGTACCCCATAGCCCCCCACCAGATACCACATAGCCCCTACCCGATACCCCATAGACCCCAAATGGTACCCCATAGCCCCCCACCAGATACCACATAGCCCCCACCCGATACCCCATAGACCCCAAATGGTACCCCATAGCCCCCCACCAGATACCCCATAGCTCCCAACCGATACCCCGTAGCCCCCACCCGCTACCCCATAGACCCCAAATGGTACCCCATAGCCCCCTCCAGATACCCCATAGCTCCCAACCGATACCCCGTAGCCCCCAACCGATACCCCATAACCCCCCACCCCATAACTAATAAATGATCCTTTCTGTACTTTAATTTCATGTGAGCTGTTTATGTTTCACCACTGTGGTCATAAGTCTAATAAACTCTGGAATGAGTTTAAATAAATCAAAAACCAATACCAGTACTAGAAACAGCACCTTTAGTTTAGAGTACAAACATTAAAAGTGTGCAACACTTTGCACTATTTAGTAGTAAATAGTGCTAATTAAACAATAGAAAACAATAGGATTAGCATAATTTAGCAGTATTTAGTGGTATTTATGTTGCACACTTATAGTGTTTGTACTCTAGTAACTCTATGAAGATTCATTATTTTAGGAGTTACATAGGCTGAGAAAACTTTAGTTGAAAATGTAAAAAAAAAAGTTTTCTGGGAGTATTGGTATTGTTCTTTTTTTCTCAGTTTAATTTTAACTCATTTCAATTTATGGCTGCCATTTTAGCAAAAAGTCTCTTATACATAGATCAACAATCAGTTCCCACACACAAAAATCAACTTCTACATTTCAATTTGATCATATTAAATGAGGGCCACAGGCAAACAGCCAGCATAATCATTTACTAAGCTTATGTTCTAGATTACCTTGCCCTTTGTGCCACTGACATGAATGACAGACAACTGGTCAAGCCTTTCCATCTATATATGTAAACAGAAGTGTTCATCAAATGATACAATAATGAGACCACTATGCTTAATTTCTAATCCCATGTTCCCGATTAGTGTGCTACTTGTGACATGCTAGAAGTTTGACACGTTAATAAAGTTTATGTATGTATGTATGTATATTAGTAGGACTTTGCTCTAAAATTTATTACCAGAATCTAAAAATCCCCCTCCCATTATCATTTAATGTTGACATTTTAGCTAAGAAAGCATGGCTATATTGCTGTGTACAGGAATTGTCAGAGGAATGACACCAGGGGAAAATGTTTGCACGTTTTCTAAGAATATTTTGAAGAGCTTGATTGAGAAAATAAATGTTTGTTTTCTCCAAGTATACAAGAAAGTTCGAGAGTATACTTTTGTCAAACCAAGATATTGTATTAACAAACACAATATGAAAGAATTACTCTGAAGTTTCAAGCATGGACACTAAGTTTGGCATTTTGTGAAGTCCAATTTATCAGGCATGTTTGAAAGTCAAATTTATTTATGTTTTGACTATATAATTTGCATATGGATTCAGAGCATATGCAGACGTTTTCACTTGTGGTCCAGGTGAATACTATTCAAATTCAAATTTCCAGTAGTCAGCTAGTAGTTATACCTCAGGGTAGTATGAATTAAGCGACAATTAATATTTATGTGCACATGCTAATGATACATCGTTTACTGATATATGACTAAATGAGACCACCCAAGCGAATTCGCTTCGTGGTCGAGTGGTTAGGTTTAGGGCTGGGGTTTGCATTGTAGTGGAGTAGTTCTTTGCGCCAAAGGTTCAGAGTTCGATTCTTGGTGTCTTCAATTATTTTTTTTTCTAAGTGAGGAGAACCAAAATCTTTGAAAGATTCCCACTTTTGTGTTCAGAAACCTGTGATATACTTCATTAACCTGTAAATAACGACACTATTGAAAACATGCAAGTTTCAGAAAGCCAGTTAGAAGATATTTTGATGTCTGGTGACCAATATTGACCAATTTCAAAGTATGGAGAACAGTTTCTATTCGTGAGTCACACGTAATGTGTTATAAATAATCTAATTAAAAAATAAACTTAACATAAATATCTAAATAAATAAATAAATAAATAATGGTCATCTGCACCTAATGCAGCCACTATTCTATGTTCTTCTCATCTTTAGTTGGATGATAGAAGATGAAAATAAGCTACGTATGAAAAGAAGTTGGTCTAGTATATAATAATCGTACATAACCTTCGTATTTAAGTTACATATAATTATTTTAAACATAGACATGACTAAGCATTGTATAATTTATAATATTATTGAATATACGAACCGTAACGCCAGCTCTTTTAGTGAAAGTCCTCATCTCTTCTAAGTTGTCCTGCATCAAACGCCCTCGAGTCTTTCGTATTTGCTGTAGAACTTGAGCATTTGTCTGCAGAGTGTTGAGTGCTTTGACTGCATCCTGTAGCGAATTTATAGACAATAGATGAAGTAAACAAACTGAAAAGATGTTGGAAGCTGATCCAATCACACAAATAAACGTAGAACTAATAATTAAAGACTTAAGATGGCCTAGACAAGAGTAATAGGCAATCCAATATTCTGTCTTTTGCAGCTAAATACAGAAATTATACAATGCACAATGCTCATGCATTGTAAGTCTATACCTCATAGGTTCGATTCTCCATCACTGCTCGAGCAAATGACACGTTAGAACAAGATCTCAGACTGGCAGGAAAGTTTCTAAACCTAGCTGCTCTTAGCATCAACAGTATTCAAGGCTTCATTCAGTAAATATTCTGTTTTTCTTGACCTCCAACCTATTTTATATTTTGCAATATTATCAAGGGTCCATTCAAACAGACCACGTGCTCAAATGAGCCTCGATAGCATGATGGGGACTAGAAACGAGTCCAAAATAATCATATAGGGAGGAGAGGGTAACATTAAATTTTTGTCCATGCTTCTGAACTGAATTAATTTTCTCAATCTGCTCTGAATTGATCTGTTTTAGTTCATCTGGTAGCAAGAGTGGTCTATGTGGTCTTATTTTAATTAATTTTTAATTAATTTTTTTCATAAATAATTATTTAGGTAGAGAAGAGCGGATTTTGAAAAACCCCACTAAACGGCCTGAAATTGCGCTGAAACTTCGCCAGAAGACTGAGGCAAATTTTTGAGTGAAACATTTTATTTTCATAACTTTATCATAACTCCCATACATTCCCTTCATATAAACCATACACAGGAACCTTGTTTGGGCTGCCTGTGATTTTCCCCAACCTGTGTCAGTCACTGATATTCTTTTAAAATGAAGGTGAAATATGAGTTATTGGTTTCGTATATATACTTAAAGATCGTATGAATATATGAATTACTATATATAGCTATATCTGAATATGCAGGGCTTTTTCTGTATTATTGATTATTGTACTTACACAACCCGGACTGGAAAAAATTTCAACCCAATAAAGAGTTAATATTTTTATTTTTTATTTATTTTTTAGAGTTTTATTTATTATTATTATTAATCCTGAGATGGCCACTAGACCGAAAGGCAGGTTAAAGATTAACAATATTAACACAGAATAATCCATATACATATTTTAATTTAGATATGACTTTCTGTGTTTGGCATGTTGCTATACAATAATGTTTTCCGCTTTCAAGTCAGTGTCAGTAAGGCGGTATTGTACCTATTTATTGAAGTTACTTCCGCATGTGATTCGTCTAACTTTACCGAGAAAGAAGAGAAGTCATGCGGTCTCAGTAGTGAAACAAAACAACGACAAAAAAAAAACTGAAAAAAAAAACTGGAAAAAAAAATTTTTTTTGCCCCTTTTGTAAACTATTGATTGACTTTCCGTCCACCCTCTCAAGGGAATAAATCAAGATAGCGAGTTCCTTCAATAACGATGAACACTCTTCCTGAAACTATCAGAAATGATCTCCGTTAGGCACCCTGTTTTGGTCCAGCCACATGTGCGTTTCGTTTTGAATGCCTCCTGACTCTAACCAACATCATTATATGATCATCATGAAAGGTGCCCCCCTTCTGATATACCACATACTCCCCCCCCCCCCCCCCCCCCCCCCCCCCCCCNCCCCCCCCCCCCCCCCCCCGTACCACCTGATCGAAACGCTTCAGCCACTTGGCATCTTAACTGGGAAAAGCACAAGCATTGCTGAGCTGAGAGGCGTGAAGTGAACCATAACTAATGACTTGTTGAAACTCGTATAACTTCCGCATGGCTGAGATATTGACGCAACGATTCCTTATTTGTCAGGGTTACGTATTATTCGGCTAAGCAGCCTTGTGTGAAATTTCTGATTAAATCAGAGCTTTCAGTTTTTATACTCATAGTTTGTCAGTCGATCACGCACTTCATCTTTTTGATCCAATTCTTTCGAAGAGATGGAAAATAGAACGAACATCAAAGTATGCATGTTCGTTCAACTCGACAAGGCTGCAGTACAAGACGCGTACGCAAGCTACATCGCAAATATCGTGCTAAATAGCAGTCTGGCTCTACCGACTATAATCTTCAACTTCATCGTCCTTGGCGCGATCTGGAAGACAACTTCATTACATACTCCTTCCAACATGCTAATCTTCAGCCTTGCCTTGTCGGATTTTCTTATTGGGGCGATAACTGAGCCTTTCTACGTGGCGTATAAGGCCTCTGAGATTAACGATAAATTTGATGAATATTGCGAAATAGGAATACAAGTGGTTGCGCTTTTTTTCATTTATTTCCTGGCTGCAGTTTCCTTTGCTACACTGACTGTGATGAGTATAGATCGATATCTTGCGATTCATCTGGGAATGCGTTACCGTTTAGTTGTCACGCCGTCTCGGGTGGCAAAAACATTGGTATTGCTGTGGCTGTTTGGGATTTTACTAAGTTCGTTACAGCTTTTTCTTGCCCCTAAGATGTTTTCCAGGGTCGCATCATTGTTGATGGCCTTGTTCCTCGCAATCATGTGTTTCGCGTATATCAAGGCATTCAGAGCTCTCAAGCAACACCAGTCACAAATGGCATCCAATGCCAGCCAATCCTATATGTCCAAAATCCGCATCGAAAAATTCAGGAGGACTTTGTATGCCGTGTTGTACATCCTAGGCCTTATACTACTCTGCTATGTCCCTCATTTCTGCGTCTTCATCGCCATATCAGCCACGGGACTGAACAGCGCAACAAGAGCAGCCAAAAACCTCGCCAATCCGTTTGTTCTCGCCAACTCGTGTTTAAACCCTCCTCTATACTGGTGGAAGATCAAAGAAATCCGTCGTGCTTGCCGCAATGTCTTCTGCAAAACCTTTAGTGGTCGGGACAACTATTCTACTACTTCAGACAACGGGGTCTTTGGGAATAACAAGATGGCTACGCAATCAAGCAGTGGTGGGGCGCTGGAACTTTCCTTAGTAGCTGAGCCAAAAGTATATGCCGATAAGAAACTTTAGGGTTATACAGAGCTAGATTTAAAAAAACATTGATCAAGGTATTCTAGGCAATACATTTGATCGTGGACGGAATTGTGCGAGCTAAGTCTTCGTCAGTCTGCCATGCCAGTTGGTTGGGTGAGAAGCCTTTTATGCTTATCGCCTATTATGTAATTCTCCAAAACTTAAAAACTAAGAGCATTTTATAGCTTTGAAACGTATATCATGTCATTCCCGGTCAGTTAACTCTGTAGTAAGGGTATTGAAAAAGATATTTCGACTACAGCAAAGTTGTTTATAGAGCCGGCAAATTTAAGTAAAGCACAGGCTTCTAAGTGCAATATCATATATATGCGCAGTAATGCATAAGAATGGGTGTCAGCTCCAGGGCAATATCATAGTAGTTTAACATTAATTATATTAATATGATCGAAATTCTGCTTTTATTTAATTTGACATTTGCTGCGAAGCGTGCAAGAAATAATTCCTATAATTTAGATAAACAGATACATTGTAGTGAAATGGTGTAATACACATCAATGATACCTTAAAATATTTATGAGAAACTATTCGTTGAATTTACCCTCAGTTTTACAGCTTCATTAACTAACAGCTTACTTACTAAAGTGTCAGTAAAAGTTATTTCGCATTAAAAACCTTTGCCTCAATTCGAATGTATTTACGTACTTGCACTTACACCCTCCTTTGGATTAGGTTGTCTTCGAGTTTCGTGTACTAACTGTTGCACATAAGGTACTGTTACACCAAGGGGGAACGACCACATTCCGCTCGCGACGAGCAACGAAAGGTCGATTTCAGTATTATTATTATTATCGTCATCGTCATCATCATCATCATCATCATCATTATTAATTATTATTATTATCGCTTGTCATGTTTTCTTTCTATTGGCTATTTTTTAAATAAAATCTTTAACTTAATCAAGAAGTCTTGTTTCGCTTTTTGTTAGCAATCACAACAATTGAGGTCTTCATCACATCCGCGTCGGTAGGCACGTACTTGCATGAGACCCATCCCAGGTAACGAATAGTCCACTTCCAAGATATGTATGCTTCCTTGTCACACACAAAGGTTTTAGCGCAAGGCTACGTGCTGAATTACAGTTCTTCTTTTCTCCTTTCACTAATCTCTGAGCATTATGCACGAAGCCTCGCATTGAAACATTTGTGCGTGACAAGCGAAGCATATTTACAAAATGGGCTATTTAGCCCCATTCTCGTACCCAGACCCCATTCATCCCGAGCTGAGATCGACTAAAACAACGATAATTCATTCACTAGAAACGGTTCTATGTAATAAACCATTAGTTGTCGTCGGTTGACTATTGCTGCTAAATGATACTGTGATTGCTGCTGTTGTCGTTGTTAGATGTAGCTTTTGCTTTTGCAATTCAGGGTTTTGGTGACAAGGAGTAGCTTTCGCTATTTGTAAAACACATTCTCTCAAATAGCCAGTAAGTCGCCAATCTCGTACCCAGAGCTCTGAGCCTCTCGTTTCTCGGTGCTGACCATGAGGAACGTGGGCTCTGGGTACGAGATTGGTAAGTCGCCAATTCGGCCTGAAATTTTGCCTTGGGGTTCCTGTGGCGTGCCAGGGGGTTCCGCTTCATGGGAAAAGCAACTCCATTACGGTTCACGTATCATCGACAAAGTGAACTTATTGTTACGATAGAATGCTTTAATTAACTTCAATTAAGCAATCCGATATGATAAACCGACGACTTCGCATAAAACTGCTGGTGAATTGTTGTCTTTGAAGCCAGGTAATACGGAATTACGACTAACATGAAAATGAACATGTCCTGAAAAAAGGTAATCGATTGATGGAATGCAAGCTGTTTTTACCTGTTTTTCCTGAGTCAAAAGCGCTCATTCTTTCTTCTAATTCCTCATAAACCATCCTATAGTCTTCTACCGTCTTAAAGAAGCCTATTCCTGACTATAGTGAGAAACGATTATAGGTAAAATTACTGAACTTTAGCTTTTCCACCAAACCGGAAGTGGTTAATCTCATGAGGATTCTTCATGAATGTGGCAATGTTATTCATTCCCCCCCCCCCCCCCCCCCCCCCCCNCCCCCCCCCCCCCCCCAGAATATTAATCGATTATTCTAACTTCATTGAATTTTAGGCTATCTTGCAAGCCTTGGCTGCAATTAAATTACTCCATAGATTTTGCATCGCACAAAATTTCAGTTTTAAATAAGTTTGGTTAATACCATGTGCTTCTCTTTCATGCTTAGTTTAGCGTGAATGCATTTTGTCTTTGACTAAGTACAGCTAAAATTTATAACCAAAGGCTTTCAAGTTAATTTTGTGTTAATATTCTTGAAAATATCCTGACTAGGTCTGTTTATTTGTTGTAAATGAAGGGAATTTTTGTGAAGGAATTCGATGAAATTATAAAGTGGGATCCCTGTGGACAAAGGTAACCCATCCCATCGAATCCATCGATTGTGATTTTTTTTCATTGCGTTTTAGAGAAATGGAAAAATAGTAAAATAGAAGAAATTGAAGAAATCTGCCTTGGCCAAAGAATTGATCGAGCATGACATTGCACTAAAACCATCGTCGATCATCAGCGTCATCATCATCATCGTCATCATCATTGTCGATCCTCAAAATCTTTTATTAATCAAAACTTGCTTAAGGAAGCATGGCTACAAATAATAATAGACTTTACAATGCCTGCGAAAAAGGAAATTACGATGAAGTAGAAGCGAGATTACTACAAGAAGATGAAACCTCCAAATCCAAGTTGTTAAGGAAATACTTTGATATTTCTCAAAACACTCTCCTCCATATAGCTGTCATTAATGGCCGTTCACGAATCGTAAAGTTGTTGTTAAGACACGGAGCGTGTGTTAACTTGACTACTGGAGCAGGGAAGTACACTCCTTTGCATCTAGCGGCATCAACAGGGCAGACAGAATGCGTGCGAATACTTCTAGAACAGCAAGATATCGTTCTAAGTCCAAAAGATGACTTCAAAAATACTCCTTTAAAGGGTTCGAAAAACGAAACAATTGCAAAGCTTATAAAAAGTAAAGGTAAGGGTTAACAGTTGTTTTAGATTTAGGTCTCTGATGTTAAAAAAAAAAATTAGTTAAGTCCTGCAAGATTAAAAAAACTCCGCCATCGCGCGACCCAACAGCTCAAGAATCCTTTGAACTGCGGGCGTCGACTTGAAAAAGTACTCATTCATCTGTACTGGCTTCCGTGTCCATGGTGACAAGTGACAAGGAACTCAGGCTGTCCTTGTTTTCATTTCATTTCAGAGGTCATCAAGGCAGTCCAAAGAAATAATGTCGAACGACTCGAGGTAGCGCTTTGCGGTGCCCAGAAGAATACCTTCACTGAAGTCTGTTTCTCCAGAGCATTGAAGGTAGCTGTGTGTAATAACCAAGTTAAGACTGAAATAATCTTCAAGATTCTGTCATTTGCAGCTGATAATTCCTGTTTTTCGGATCTTGAACTATTGGACTGCATTCAACTGGTGTTCGCTCAAGACAATTTCAATGTTGAAATCACAGCACTGTTAGTTCTCTGTTGGCTGGCGTCTGTCGAGGGAGAGATTTGGCAGCTTAACTTCTTCCTCGGGATAAGCGCAGATGATTGGCTGCAGGACCAGTCACATGATGCGACATTAGATCAGCTGGAAGTGATTCATCATCACAAATTTCACGAGATCAGGTAAGATGGGGGCGTCTCGGCTCTCGGTCTCTTAGATGTTTGTTCAAGTCCAAAACCTTATGAAAAATGGACACCTCTGTAAAACGGGCACATGGCTCATCTTTGTATTGAAGACCTGCAGTTATCCGTATTAAAGAGGTCATTGGGTCCAAACCCTTATGAAAACTGGACACCTCTGTAAAACGGGCACACGGTTCATCTTTGTATTGCAGATCTGCAGTTGTTCGTATTACAGAGGTTTGTGTCCAAAACCTAATGAAAACTGGAGACCTCTGTAAAACGGATACGCGGTCCATCTTTTGTATTGCAGGCCTGCGATAGTCGTATTACAGTGGTTTTTAATGTAGATACACCTTCGTAATGCGGGCAGTGTCCGTAATGCAAAGGTTCAACAGTCAATATGTTGTGCTCATTAATTCAACAGGGAGATGTTAAAGAGAAAGAAGTGCAAGGATTTTTCTCCCGCTATAAACATCGCCATGGCTTGCAAGCACACAAAGGCCTGCCAGATGCTGTTAGGCCATGGATCTATGCACGAAAAAATGTGTGAAGTACGTTGGCAATGCCTAGGAATTCCCACCCTCACTGCACAGATATTCAAGGCCATTCTTCATAGAGGACCATTGGGTGTTTGTAAGTGGAATAATATTACCCTGTTAGATCTTCGACGCAATAACCTGGAGACAATCCCATCGATGATTTTCCACCTTCCTCTCCTTGGAACACTCTATCTCGACAACAACAAGCTAGTGGACTTGCCTAACGCCAAATGGATCTCTGACTCGTTGAACCGTCTTTACCTATCGCATAACCAACTAAGTCACCTACCCAGTGTTTTGGGATCATCGAATCTTCGAACTCTCTACCTGGACAATAATATGTTTAGATCTATCCCTGAATGTGTCTGCAAAATTGCTGGACTCGAAACCCTTGACATCATTGAAAACCAACTGGAATGGATTCCTCTGGAAATTGGATTACTCTCCAAACTTACAAGTTTTCACTTTGATCCTAATAAGGTATAGTTGTGCTATATAGCCTTTCGTGGGCAAGGGGAGGGCGACCAAATCACCTATAATGTGTTTGTACCCCTCCATTTTCTATGTGAACAATAACCAATCAGATGGAGACCACTGCTTAGCCAGCAGAATCTATCAGATTTGATACCGTCACGGTCATGATGATGACGATGATGGTGATGGTGATGGTGATGATGATGATGGTGGTGATAATGATGGTGATGGTGATGGTGATGATGATGATGATGATGATGGTGATGATGGTGATGATGATGGTGTTGATGATGATGATGATGAAGGTGATGGTGATGATGATGGTGATGGTGTTGTTGATGATGATGATGATGGTGGTGGTGATGATGGTGATGGTGATGATGATGATGATGGTGGTGGTGGTGATGGTGATGATGATGATGATGAAGGTGATGATGATGATGGTGATGGTGTTGGTGATGATGGTGATGATAGTGATGATCATGATGATATGAAAATTATGATGGTTTAATGGCGTTTTGAGTGGGTCACATAATATCGGCGTCCTTTACAGTCAAAATTTAATTTATTATTCAACTTAGGTTGTCAGCCCCCAAGGTATCTCTAAATTCAGAGTAGAGACTACCAAAGAACTGGTAACATGGCTACGTTCTTTGTTAGTAAAAATGAAACCATACACCACGGTGAAGCTTCTAGTAGTCGGATGGCAAGATAAAGGAAAGACAACATTGGTGCATAGACTGGAAGGTGACTTCAAATACTTCGAAAGAGAAGTCACTCAAGGTAAATAAAATCTAAACACACTATTGAAAAGGTTGTGACCAAGAAATGTAATAGTGTAGTAAGATAGTTGTGATCGTGAGAGGTGTGTTTAATTGTCATAACAATCGTATAAAAGAGTACTTACTGAATTTCTTTATACGATTATTATGACAAGTGCCAAATTAATGGCTCCAAAAGCAAGCTCTGGGGTACACCGGCAATGTCACGTTCATCTCTCTTTAGTTTAGATATCAACCGAACATCTTATACGGGAAGGATTACTTAAAGAATTCCTTTATAAGATGGTTGTGACACTTGTCAAATTAGTGGCCCAAAAAGCAAGCTCTGGGGTACACCGATAATGTCTACATACCACGTTGATCTCTATGTTGGTTTAGACATACTAAACATTATACGGAAAAAATAATTACTGAACTCCTTTACGCTGGTTATAATGAGAACTGTCAAATTAAATGGCCCCAAAAGCAAGCCTTAGGGTATACCCTTATTGTCTACATACTACACATCATCTCTTGCTTCCAATCACTAGCGATGTTAGACCTGCAGTTTGAATATTTGGTGTTAGTTGAGTTCAGTCTTTCAGAAGACTTTCTAAGTGAAAATAGTTTTGAAACTTGTAACAGGAGTTGAGATGAGTGAGTTTCGCATGCAACAAAAGATGATGGTTGTGGTACCTACTGGCCCAAAGGTGAAATTCCAGGTTTGGGATTTTGCTGGCCAAGAAGACTTCTACCTAATGCACATGTGTTTTTTGTCATCTGTTGCGCTTTATTTGTTGGTCTGGGACCTACAGGATGGAGAGATTGGAATAGAGGTAAAAAAACGTTTTTGTGTGTGCACGTTTTACAAACTTTCATTCAATTCATATTAAAATAAATAAATTCTTTATTTTACGTCGTGATTCGGATCTTTCTAGCCAGAGACTAATGATCATGTATAAGATACACTCCCAACTCACTACCACTTTTTTAATGTTCTAAGCACATAATTCACAAGGCACATGTTGATGTGGAGGGAGGAAAACTGGAATAACTTGAATGCAATGCTACGTTATTAATTTTTGCACACCTCTTGGGAATCTCAAAAATTACGTATAAAAAAAGGTATAATAATAAACCATTATGATACCTATCTATTTGTCTCACGATTATTGAGGGTCATTTGAAGAAGGACCGCGACGTTTCGACTGCAAACTGCAAGCCTTCATCAGGCGTTGGTTGAGACTGAATGGTGTGTGTTACGAAATGGCAAGCGCATTTAAACAATACGAGATTTACTTGACTTAGCTTGGCCATTTATCATTGTCCTTCACCTCATTCTGTTCTCAGCTGTTTTTTTTGCCTCTTCCCATGTGGTGTTTGCGTTCTTCAGTTCTGCCATGCATGACGTCCTCCATAACTGTATTAGCCTCCCCACCTTTCTCCTTCTTCCTAGAGGATGCCATTCAATAATTAACAATTATTCGCCGAAGGCGAAGTGAATATCGGGGAATATTTACCGAGACGCGAGTCTTCGAGAGGCGAGGTAAATATTCTCCGATATTCACTGGGGCTGAGGCAAATAATTGTTTTACACAGGTGAACCTTTAAAAAAAAGAAATAAATAAAAAAAAGAAGAAGATAAAAGACACATTTAAAATCAGGAGAAATTTTAATTGAAGGGGCAAACGCGATTACAACACAGGCGAACTCCGACTTTGCAAATCAAAACAGTTTGTTTGAGCTTATTTGATTGTTTTAAGTCCTTTTTACCTTTGAACAAAGTTAGTGCAAATTTGTTAACCTCTTTAATCCTTTTGGGACAGCATTTTCCTTCATTATTTCTAATTCCTCTTCGGTAACAGCAACAAAGCGGCTGGCCGCCATTTTGGATTATCGCTGGAGGTAATTAACTCTTACATAGTGTGAGTTTCTCGACCAATCAGCGCGCGAGATTTTCAATAATCACCTGTATATTTTTACTAATACAAGAATAATACAAGAGTCTGCTAATATTGAGGGTTCCATTCAATTATACGAGAACAATACAAGAGTCTATTAATATTAAGTAACATAATAAACTTGTGTAAGTTAGTCATCCCGTAATGAACTCATTATCATAATATCAATAAACAACTTCAGGAACTGAAGACATGGTTGGACAACATAGCATGTAAGGCAGTGTACCCCACCACTGTTATCATTGTTGGTACTCATTTGGATTGCATCCCGGGAAATCAAGCCAAAGACTACACAGAGCGCATGAGAGAACTCGTTAACAACATGATAGAGAGAAGACCAAGAGATAAAATCCACGTAGCTTGTGTTGTTGAAGTCAGTAGTCACCCTCAGCGATGCCAAGGTAAACCAAATTCACTGAAGAAATATTGACACTTGATGGATGACGTAGATTAAACTATAGTTCAGCGGGATCCAAGTTATATGATTATTTGTTTATACTTGTGATTGTATGATTGTCTTTTCATGCGTTTCTTTCTCTCACAATCTCTGTTCTTTTTCATCACCACCACCATCATCATCATCACCATGACTACGTTTCAAATTTTGAGCCTCTATTATACAACCCCATCATCACCATCACCATCATCATCACCGCCATTTTGATCATGATCATCATTACCAGCAGCAGAAGAAAGCAGCATTTGCACACACACAGTATCTTTCGTCATTTTCATATATACTTTCAATACAAACTTTTCCAACTTAATTTTTCCATAGGATTGGAAAACCTTCGTGACAGGATTCTAAAAGCTGCCAAAGAGATGGTAAAAGATAAGAATGTACGAGTGCTGGATCAGCCAGTTCCGATATCCTTCCATGAATTGGTGACCAAGATTGAAAAGATGAGAAATAAGATGTGGATGAATAAGGAATTGCCGATACTAAACCTTGATCAGCTGTGGTCATTAGTGAAGGAGACTCTTGGCTTCAAGGAGAAGAGGTTTCCAGAAGATGAATTTAAGGAAGCTGTTGAGTTCTTGAAGAATCGAGGTAGTCGAATTAGAACATTTTCTCTTGCTTTTTCCATTTCTTGTCTCCCCCTACCCCCCCTCTCCCCGTAC